AAAAAATTCTGTGTGTTAGATTCTGGAAAAAATGTGGTAGATCTCTGGGTTTGGATCAAACTTTGTACAAAAATTAAAAAATTCTGCAAGGTTTCACCTAAATTGCTAACTTTTTAATTAGACTCTACAAAAAATTTAATTTTAGTATAACAAAGTGGAAGATTGAAGTTGCTAAAAATTGCGTTGAGTTTTGGCAATTTTTTTCCTTGACGGTGTAAAGCAGTTCCTTCCATATTAAAATATTTTTCGAACAAATTTTAAGAGATTTCTGCAACCTTGCGGAGTGCTGCCAGCTTTTCTTTTTATCACATAACGAAATAGCGAAAAAATGTGGCATGTTTCAAAAACAGCTAATTGGGATTTGCCGATTTTGACCATTCTCAAGTAAAAGTAAACAACGCCTCAGAAACCTTAGATGCACTTAAATTTGCTAATACTTTCACAAAAATTGCCGTTTTTTTAATATTTTCGCTATTAATTATTTTTATAAATCATATATTTTGCAATTTAGCACAATGAAACCACTTTTTCTGTCGGAAACTTTATTAATGAGAAAATTTACTATTTTACAATTTATTTTGTCCTTCCATTCGGCTTTGTTTACTTTTACTTGAGAAATTTCATCATCGCCGGGAATGCGGAATCTTCTATTATATAACACCGTATAGTGTTTATTGTTGGACAATTTTTGCTCTTAAAATTAAGAAAATTATGTCAAGCAAAAATAAAACTACTCAAAAACGCGATAATGTGGTAGAAGTCCGATCACTGCGTCCATACACTTTCCACTTTATTATTAAAAATTGACAGAAATTAATAACAAATGTTTTTATTTTGGTCAAAATAATTGTAAACAAATTTTCTAATGCACCGCTAGAATTATGAAGTTGCCAAAAAATGTTGATAAATAGTTCTACACCGTCACTGTCGCCGTCAGAAATATTATGGTGCCGTCAAGTTACTTTACAGTGTGTATAGCGCTCATCTTATATTACGTTTATACGTAAGCTATTTGCAAATAAAAATAATTTGCAAATACCTAACTCACTATTTATTCGATGGTGAAAAATTCTTTTTTAATATTATCTTATTATAAAAAGGCAATAATATGACCATCGAAAAAGAAAATAAAGTTAAAAATGGCAACGTCTTGAGTATAAAAAGGCAATAAGATGACCATCGAAAAAGTAAATAAACCTAATAATGACGGCGTCTTGCGCTTATTTGCAAATAGTATCACTAATCAATACTTATTTGCGTGATTTAGTTATTTGCAAAAAAAAATTAACTCAGCGTTTATACGGCAAAGTTTACCATTTTGCAAATTGTTATTTGCAAATAATACGTGCGTATAAACATAGTATTAGTTAACATCTGGTAACATTTACATGGCAACATTTTTGGCAACGTAAAGTTACGACCGCTATTTTACCCTACAAGAATTGTGTGATGGAAACCATGAACCAAAGATCACGTAAGAACGCGACATTGTATTTGTAACTGGTTTTGAGAAAAAAGTTTGCGAAAGCGGGTTCGTCAGCTGAGCGTTTGTTTACATCACAAGCACCACTATTTTACACTTTTATTCAAGTAAAGAAGAGTTAATTCAACATGACAACACATTTTAAAGCATTTTGTTGCATCATTTTATCTAAATTGTGCGTTTAAAGTGGCTGACAATGATTTTGGCTCATTTTGGTTTTCGTTGTTTTCTTTGCTTTGTTTACTTTTCGCTCGTTTTCCAGTGAAACAAGATGGCGTAGAACCCGCTCAAAAAATCGACTTTTTTCACTCTCTTCCCTGCCAGCCACGGCTCACCACTTTCCCCAGAAAATCAAACGATTTACAAACACATTCACAACTTTTTAGTCATCTCACCCACACACTTACAAATTTTTTTGTTCGAACTGTCAAAAAAATGTCCCTTTGTTAGAGCTACATACCCGATAAGAATTCGTACTCTAATGAGAATTCTATGCGTTAGAGCGAGCAAGTTAGAAACATCGGAGTTTTGATGACAGTATACATACTGTGAAGAAATGTCACTTTGCGGAAAGGTAAGGTTAGGTAAGGATACGTATTTAACAATTTTATTTAATTATAATGTAATTTCTTCTTTTAGACTGCAAAACACCAGCGACTTTAGTCACATTCTTAAGGTATGTATTGAGACTTTTTATATGTTTATAAAATTGAATTGATATTTTTGTTTATTTACAGTTTTGGGATTCACCATCAGCACCTTCAACGCTTGCATCTTCATCGCCAGGAGCACCATTAAAACCTTCTGCCCTCAGCTTCTTCATCGCCAGGAGCACCACCAGTACCTTCTATCCTCAGCTCCTTCATCGCCAGGAGCACCATGGTTACCTTCCGCCCTCAGCACCTTCAACGCCAGGAGCACCTTCAAAGTGTAGGTCCAACTTGTCAAATTTTGCAAAGTTGCAAGAAAACTTAATTTTTCTGAACCACCCTAAATGATTTGCAACTCTTAATATATATCAAAA